CCCTCAATTCCTCAGAAAGACGAAATATGAGGTGGGCATTCCCGTGGACCTTGGGAGGTCAATCACCTAACCCGACCAGCAGATAGATAGATGGTAGATACTCAAAGTGAGTGTGCTGCTGGACCCATCTTTATACCCATGGGGTCACGTATTTCTCTTATCTGTGATGCCAAATGGTGCTGGTCTGTCTTTTGTGACGCCAGTTCTTACAAGGGAGTTGTGAACTTAATTTACACTTGTAAGAGAGAGAACTAAATTGGGGCATTCTTTTCTCAGTGGGAGATTCCTCTCCCAGGGACGACTGTATCTGATCGTATGACTATAGGTGCCAGCCAGGGCAGTTCTCGCAGCCTCGAGGTCAGCTTATTGCCTTAATCGTTCTTTCTCATATCTATGTTTTCAGCTTACCCAGGGTCAGATGAGCTGGCATATCCTGGCCTCGCATCAAGGCTTCAAAGGCTATGCTGATTTTATTGCTTCTTTCTGCCCTGCATTCTCCAGGCACTTCAGAGGGGCAAACAAGATGGATGTGATGGGGGGGCCTGTCTGGCTACATTCCACCCCCTGATACAACACACCAGTCCCGGGAATGCAAGATGATGGTGTGCCAGCACCTCTTGCCCACCTTGAAGGAATCTAAAAGTACCCAGTGGCCTGATTAGAGGGCTTGGGGTCGAGGAATTGGCTGGGATCTTTTCCCAGCGCTGTATATCAAATGTGCGCAGAGGAAATGGCTTCATTAACCAAGCATCTTACAACACACAATATTATACAAAAGGCAATTACAACAATCAAAATAATCAAAACAGTGGTTATGATAGAATGTAGGAAAGGTGTTAAGGAGAGTCCTAGCTGTTGGGCTAAGCAACTTAGCCATGAGATTTCTCCATCTTTAGTTACAGCGTGTAACACTTTAACTGCATCATTTATGGCAGACACATCCTGTTCAATCTGCCCTGACTGATTTACATAGAAACAGCAAGACTGATTAATTACAGCACAGACTCCTCCTTGTTGAGCGAAAATTGCATCTAATGCTATCCTATTTTGCAGGGCAAAGTGGACCACTGATTGGATCTGCTCGTTGAGCAGGCCTAGGGCATCTGCAATGTGGTTGAAAGCTATTTCTAGTTGCCCTGACACACTTACTATGGCTTGTTCAAGTTCAGCTACACCAAGGCAGAAATGCACGGGTAAATCGATGAAAACCTGTGGGGCGTCTCACAAGAGGGTTAATAGTAAATTTCCTCTTGGATCGATGCAGGAAGCTTCCAAGGTTTGTAATACCTGGAGCTGTAATGTATGGGTGTACCGTTAATCCTCTAGGCACCGCATGTCCTAGGGAACACCAACCTGTCCAACCCACTGGCAGGTATTTCTAAGCCTTTACCCCACAGATGAAAAAGAGTCCAGGTTCTTTGCTAAGGATAGGGGAATATGGTCCCTTATACCACCCTCTTCCCATGGGCCTTTCTTTAGGGGCATGATACACAGTGGAGCACTGGAGAGCAAACAACAGATCCTGTAGGATCTGATCTGGTTGAAAAAGGTCTGTCCTACCACACTGGCCAGGTAGCAGGCTATTGTTATATACCAGTATGGGGTTGTAGATGTGTCTGGTGCTGGGAACTATAAAGAGGGAATTATTGTACCAGGCGCTGCTTTCTGGATACAGACTAAAGTTTAAGGAGACAATAGAGGCATTACTAATGCCAAACAAAGGTCTGTGACCAAGGGAGACATTAATAATATTCCCCCAGCAATTTAATGTCTCCTGGTGGGTATAATTATTTTGGTGTGAGTACATTTTGGTGTGGAAAGGATTAAAGCCCTTTTTGAAATGTGTCCAATTCCCCTTCTTCCCGACAGGCTGCAGAACACCCATGTCTGACTCCAGCTCAGCCCCTGGCCTGCAGAGGCGGGGACAGGAAATGGCTGTGGCAGAGCCGGTGACCTTCGAGGAGGTGGCTGTGTATTTCTCTGAGGAGGAATGGGCTTTGCTGGACCCGGGCCAGAGAGCCCTCTACAGGGATGTGATGCAGGAGAATTATGATGCTGTGAGCTGGCTGGGTGAGGATTCCTGTCCCCTTGTGTAACAGAAGCTGGGTAGGCTCTGGAGCAGCTGGGTTGGGTTTGGTTCAGGGTCTCTCATTGCCTGAACCCCCAATATCAGCAGTATCTGCCCCAGTAATCCTGGCTCCAGTGTGAGAGGCCGTTCAGTGACAAATAGTGGTGCTGCTCTTCCCACAGCTAAGGTCTCATTGTTGTTCCAGCCATCTTTCCCATGTTGTGCCTTGGCCAGAGGTGTCAGTGGAAGGGCCCAGGCAGGAACGGCAGATATCAGAGTTGTGGGGCTGGGTGCAGCTGCTCTTAGTGTCTGCAGAGTCCCCTTGTGCTTGTGCCGCAGAGGGGACAGACTGCATGCGTAAGGATAGCTTCTGATGCCATTAATTCATGAATTTTAAGGTCTTATCCTGCAAACACTCAGCACATGTGTTTAATAATATGCATCTGAATACTCATATTAACTTCACTTCATCTCTGTTGTGGAGAGAGTTTATAAAGTCTGTGTCAGATGAGAGTACCAAAGTTTGGGCTGCAAATCAATGCATGAAGACTAAGGATTATAAATACTGCAGCCCAAATTAAATTAAACCTATGTCCATGTTCAGGCAGATCAGTCAGGATCAGGAGTGTGAACCATAGGCAGGCCCTGAAGTGGCCAGCCAAGGATTCAATTTCCCGATCAGAGAATTACCCTGGCCTACTTCTGGCTCAAGTAGAGCATCTAAGCCCAAGAGCAGGGCAAGTCCAGCCCCCAGCTAAGAGCTCTGTGGGCAGAGCCCATAGGGATCTAGAGCTCTGCTGGATCCTGTCCTTCCCAGCACTAGAGACCTGACATATCGCAGCTCAAATATGAGTCCTGGCTAGATGCATCTGTCAGTCCTGAAAGTCTTAGAACTCTCCCCTTATGAGCAGTGTGTTCCTGTCCTGCCCAAGTATGCAACAGGCCCTAAGGGAGACTGAGTTGTATCCTGCAGAGTGCAGCAGAGCACACAGTTCCTCATGGGAGTCTGCTGGGCTATTCCCAACATGGTAGTGGTGCAGGGGGAGGATGGAATTAGTGTGTCCTGGGATCTTGTACCAGCCAGAGACCAGTCTCTGGAAGGTTGGGAAGGAGCCTGTCTGGATAGGAGACTCAGATCCTGGACCTTAATGAGCAAGATCAGCACTTGGTTAATTGCTCCCCAAATAGGATCTCCAGTCTCCAAAGTTCATGTGCTCTCCTGGGTGGAGCAAAGGGAAGAGATGCAGATCCTGGATCTCCAAGGATGTGAGGAAGGGGAAATCATCAGTGACACCCACACAGGTGAGAAATCAGCTAAAGTGACTCAAACCAATTTCTGAGTTTGCATAGCAGATGTTGGTTGTGTGTTTTCATCAAGTCTGACTGGCCCTTCAGCCTGTCTTCAACTACAATCTGAGAGTGCTGGGTGGGGAATGAGTTATGGGGGTGCAGGGTGAACTCAGCTCATGATTATTGAATCTTTCCAGCCATTCTTTGGGTTTGTACCCCATTTTGTCCCCCCAGCTGTTCACCATTCAGAATTTTTCTTTCAGCTCAGCTCAGATAATGACTCCTGTGTGCTTTCTCTCTCCATTCCAGTAGGTGATGGGATACTGAATGACAACAGTGAGAGGAGTCTTCAGGAGGAAGGACCTGAACAAATGGCTCCATGTGCGGTGTTAGTGGGAAGATCTGAAGGGCATGTTTCTCAGAGTCCTGAGCAAGGAGAGACTTGTGAGAGTCAGTGTAGTCTACAAAGGCAGCAGGGAAACCATCCAGGAGCAGGACAGGATAAATCCAGTCACAGGAGCAGAAGGTTGAAAACAAACACCGAAACTGTTCAAATGAAAATCCCCCATCAACATTCACCTTGTTCTTGCAGTGACTATGCAACTCTTATTAAACATGAAAGAGCCCACACAGGAGAGAAACCCTTCAGCTGTTCTGAGTGTGGGAAAAGCTTCTGTCACAAGTCACAGCTTGTTATCCATAAGAGAGACCACACAGGGGAGAAACCCTTCAGATGCTCTGACTGTGGGAAAAGATTCAATTACCGGTCAGATCTTGTTAGACATAGAAGAGTTCACACG